ATTTTCATTTTCTTGTAGGTATTGTTTAATTTCTTCTGTGATCCACTGATTACTAGAGTGTGTTATTCATTTTCTATGTGTTTGTGGGAATTTTGCAGTATCTTTTACCATTAATTTTTAATTTCAGAGCGCTATGATCTGGTAACATGCAAGGGATGATTTCAACTCTTTTGCATTTGTTTAAATATTTTCTGTGAGCTAATATATGGTCTATTTTAGAGAATGACCCATGTGCTGCTAAGAAGAATGTGTATTCTGATGTTGTTGGGTGGAACATTCTGTATATGTCTATCAAGTCCATTTGTTCACAGGTGTGATTCAGTTCTGTTATTTATTTGATCATTTTCTGTCTGGTTGATCTGTCCCTTGGTGTAAATGGCATATTAAGGTCTCCTGTTACAATTGTGTTACTAATTTGAGTTTTCATTTCTGTTAATAGTTGTTTTATGTAACTGGGTGCTCTGAAGTTTGGTGCATGTATATTTAAGATAGTTATCTCTTCCTCTTGGAGTTTTCCCCTTACGAGTATGTAATGACCTTCTTTGTCCTTTCTGATCATTGTTGGTTTAAAGTTCATGTTGTCTGCAAACAGAATGGCTACTCCTGCTTTTTTTTTTTTTTTTTTTTTTTTTTTTGGATTCTTGCTGCATGATGTATTTTTTTCCATCCTTTGACTTTCAGTCTGTGAATATCTTTCTGGGTTAGATGGGTTCCTGTAAACAGCATATGATTGGATGTTGTTTCTTGATCCATTCTGCTAGTCTGTTTCTTTGGATTGGTGCATTGAGACTATTTACATTAATGGTTATAACTGTTATATGCTGGTTTATTGTTGACATGTTATCCCTCTGCTGTTGCATCTTTATCTTTCTGTTCTGTTTAATTATCTGCTTTGCTTAGTGGTTTTTTCCTTTGTGTATCTAAACTGTCTCTCAATATTTTTTGCAGGGTTGGCTTGGTGTTCATGAAGTTCTTCAGCTGTTCTTTGTCATGGAAGTATCCTATTTCACCATCAATTTTGAATGATAGTTTTGCAGGGTATATCAGTCTAGGTTGCAAATCATTTTGCTTTAGGATCTGGAATACTCCATGCTCTTCTTGACTTTATTGTTTGTGCTGAGAAGTCTGCTGTGATTCTGATAGGTCTTCCTCTATAGATGATCTGTCTTTTCTCTCTGACAGCTTTTAATAATCTATTCTTGTGTTGGATTTCTGGGATGGTGATTATTATATGTCTGGGTGTAGTTTATTTTGGTTATGACTATTTGGAGTTCTATAGGCTTCACTGATCCTGATGTCGGTTTCTGATCTCATGCTTGGGAAATTTTCAGCTTTTACTTCTCTAAATATCCTCTTGACATTCTTTATGTTGTCCCCTTCTTTTTCATTAATCTCTATCAATCTTATATCATTTTTCTTTGCATCTTCTTGCAGTTGTTGAATTGTTATTTCCTGATTCCTTGTTATTTTTGAAAGATCTTTCCTTTCCTGTTCACTAGCTGCAATTTTATCTTCAAGGTCTGAAATTCTATCTTCACTTTCATTGTGGCGGTTTATACAGCTTTCAGTGGAGTTTTTTATTTCCTGTATATCTCTGTGCATCTGCTTTATGTATTCTGTTTGTTTCTTATATTGCTCATCTAGGGATTCTATCTTTTTGTTTAGATAGCACTCCTATACCATTTAACTCACACACTATATGGTTTAGTTTCTCCTTGAATAGTTCCTCCAATTTTTTAACTGTGTTTTCTTTAGATATATTCAGAATCTCTTTCATTTCTTTTATCATTTCTTCATTTACCTGGGAGATTATTTCGAGTTTGAATTTCTTTAAAGCTTCCTGAAGTTGCTTGTTAATTTTAGTAGCTATTATTTCCGATATTTGAAGTGAACGGCATATATTTTCTTCTATATACACAGCTCCTAGGGTTTCTTGAGATGGGCTGGAGGTTTGAGGTTGCAATTTGGTCTTTCGTTTTGTCATTTTCCTATATTTCTGTGTTTCAACTGTTATTTGAAAGCTTCCTCAGGATCTGTTGGAAATCCACTTCTATGTTCACAGCTCCTGGGACTCTGGTACCCAGTTTCCCCAAGCCACTGGGCCTCTAGAACCAATGGCTCTCTTCTGCCTGTTTTGAACTTCATAGTTCCAGATAAGCTGGGCTCAAGGGACACTGTGCGCCCACCCGCTTGCTGGAAGCTCCACAGTTCTCCAAGCCAGCCAGAATGGGGAGGCGGATGGAGATGCCTCAAACCCACTTATCCACTTCACTGCACCTGGAAGCCTGGATGGTCCCGAACAGTCTGGGCTTGGGGCAGAGTGCACTGGGCACTTACCACGGGCCGTGGGGCTTCTGGAACTGGTGATGCTGGCCTGCTTGCTGAGATAGCCACAGTCCTCCGGACACACGGTGAGGTGGATATAGCCGCCTCAGATCCGCCCATCCCTTCTTCTGCACCCAGACGGTGCAGGAGTCTCAAATAGGCTGGGCTCCGGGGATAGTGTGCGCCTGCCTGCTTGGTGGAAACTCCACAGTTCTCCGAGCCGGAATAGGTAGGCGGATGTTTCCTACATTTCCTGACAACTGACTAAATCAGAATAGCCTGAATTTATTCATTACTTGTCTACCAACAAAATATCCACATTTTTTTCTATCCATATTTGTATCCATTCAATCAATTTATAGTTTCATCAATCAAATACTTCTACACATAACGTTTCCTTTGTTTATGTGCACTCTGTCAATATCAACATATTACCAGGTAACAGTTATTTTCCCTTGATACTGAAACAAAATAGCCAATACCCAAAATTAAATCAGAAAATCTTTACTTAGCTCACAGTTTACTTAGATCATAGAAGCTTCAGTCCATAGTTGGCTAGCTCCATGGCAGGGAGGGATAGCACACGAGTATTGTGGAGGAGAAACAGTTCATGGCAGGCAGAAGGTATCAAAGCAAGAGGACTCTCTTTTGGTCTCTAGTCTTGTATTTATGTTATTAGGATTAGGGTGATAATAATGAAATCAGTGGAATGATTTAGTAATCACCCACCCTTAATCCTAGTGTCCTTATTCCTAGCATTATACCATGAATCAATCACATACTCTAGATTGAGTCACTTGAAAAAGCCCAAACTATAAATTCATGAGTCTTTCAAGGGACATCTCCACAGAATCCATAGCACTAGGGAAGATATTTCTACACTCTTTAACTCTGTATTCCCAAAGAAATTACATACCTGTCACTTATCTGCTGTTTGTCACTGATATATTCATATATTCATTCAACTTATTTGTACTGAGCAACCCATACATGTCTTCATGCTAACTCTATGATAGGGTGCTGTCAGGGGAGGCGAACTGCATAGCATACTAATCAAACTGGGAATTTCATTTTTCCCATTCTCTTATGAAATAGCAGTTATGAACTGACTATATATCTCTTCACATAGAACTATTCAAGGAGAAACTAAACCATATAGTGTGTGAGTTAAATGGTATAGGAGTGCTGAGAGGGGACACTTTCAATGTAACCAGCAGTGACGCTTCTCAAGAAAAGTGACATTTGTACATTGATGGAAGATCATGGTCATTCTGTGTCATCACAGGGAAACCACTCCCCTTATGAGGAAATTAAATTGTGGTTTCATGAGATATCTGAGCTTCTACATCTTCTATTTAGATCTCAACCATGAAAGATACTTCTGTAACTTAAGAGGGAGCCTATAAAGCAATGTTTTTCTAGTGTATTTATAGATTGGCTCTAATGTGGTCCTAATGGTTAGATCTGTGTTCATTGTTTGAAGTAGTTTAACCAAGATATTCAAGAAATTAAATAATCACTATTTTATAACATCTGAAAGAGGAGAACATTTCAGTCAATCTACATGTGGCTCAAGAGGATTAATCTTATGCAGGGATACTTGCTCATTTTGAGAAAATCCAGAGAGCCTCTTTATGAGTTATTGTGGAAGTGCTTCCCTGCTTACCACTGCCCGCAGTACACACACATCTCTGAATTGTGGTGGATTATCACATATAATGGAAGCATCTTCAGTTGTTTTGGTTCCATATCTGGGTTAGACCTGTTAGCTCATGTAGGCAACTTCAGTACTCATGCAACCTTGCAAAAAAGCAAAGTACAAGTTGAAATGAGATTCAGTGATTTTGTGAGTTAGGGTTTCCTATGGTATAATGAGAAATCCCCTTTCAAAGTGATTTGAAAAGCAAAGTATTTAGGGGTGTAGTAGTATCTTCCGGTAACTGAACACTTCACAAACACATGGTTTTGTTTCTTTTGGATGGATCTAAGGTATTGTTAATCACTCAGTTTCTACTCTTCTCTGTTGGTTTCTCACTGAAACATATTTATCCCCTGTAGATGTGAAAAAAGAACAGTCTAGACTTCTCTCTGTTTAGAGATCTTCTGTAAGATTACAGTGTTAATTTTGGTGTACAGTCAGTTGGACTGATCCTGACAGGTATCCATACTGGCACTAGTCTCTAACTTTGGGGATGGTAACACCAAGATTAAATATGGACACTTGAAATCACAAAGTAGGAAAGGAATAGGGAAGCAAGTGAGGAATGATGTGAATGCCATGTCTGGCCACTCCACTGCACCCCTTAACATATGAACTAGTGAAGCTGTCATAGTTCCATCACTACAGGCAACTCATTTCCACATTGTTCAAGAGACAAATTGGGATGATGTTACCAGGGTGATCATTTAGATGAAAGATGAGTAGAGGCACCAGAAGATGTTCTCCCAAGAGCTCCAGTGATGCTGATTTTGGTTTAACTCCTATTGCAGGTGCCTGCCTCTCCCTGTCCTACTTGCCTCCTTATGGTTGTGCATATCAGTCTGTGTAGTGACCTTTTTCTCTGGGCCTAACAAAAGATAGAGCAGGAGGAAAAGCTGGATTGCTCTGGGGCACAAGCAGAATGAGCTGGGTCTTATTGAAATATTCTCATGCTGTTTTCCCTTTGTCTTCACAGAAATTTTTTACTGTGGATTTACCTGGAGACCCCAGGGAGGTAAGAATGTTCGTTTTCTTGATTATGGGTTTTGATTCTTTACACCTCCAATTCATTATGAAATAAACCCCTGCTTTTTGGAATGATAGTTACTTCTTATGGACATGGTGCTGAATCCCTCCTAGGGCTATGACTTGCCATAGTAACACAGACCGTAAGATCAGAGAAGGGACTGAAATGGGCTAATATCCTGAGTCTCATTCCTGTGCTCCTGGTCAGAAACAAATGTGTGTATTCTGAGCTTATGTACCTTTTTTTCATTATCATTTTTTTGCTTTGGAAACCTCCTGGGAAAGAGAATTGATCATAGTTTTCTATTATGAGGGGGAAGAAGTAACTGGATAAGTAGCACAGGATCATTCAATGAGCCCAATCTCCTGGGAGGGCATAGGGCTAATTTGCTATGCAAAGAAATAAGGTCTGACTGCAACTCTCCTCCTAGCATTTCAGACCCATTTGCCCATCCTCTGCAGCTCTTAAAGGAGAAAGAGAACGTGTGCAATGGGGACTTGGTGTGAATGTAAATATCACTGTCAGGGATAGACTGAGTATGTGTATTCATCAACTTTCCTGTCACTGGAACAAAATACTTGGCACCTGAAGTTTAAAGTAGGACAGGTTTATTTATCTTTGCAATTCCAGTTGGTTCAGTCTGTTAGAAACTGATTACAAGCAGAAATGGCATAGCAGAAGAGTCAGTGATGACTTGTTCAACACATTGTAGCCAGGAAGCAGAAAGACAAAAGTGCATACAAGATGGGGACACAGCCTTTCAAATTACCTGGGATAACTTCTTTCTACTGGACCAGGTCCCAGTTACAAACATGAGACTTTCAGGAGATTTTATAATCCCCTGAAGAAGTCCAGCTGTTGGGTAGGAAATAAACCAGCTCTCAGGAAACCTGAAGATACAATATTGTAAGTAGAGCTAACAGCAGCTGTAATACGCAGCAGGCCTGTGTGTTGTGCAGGAGGATGTAGACTGTGCAGACTCGGGAGGTCATAGGGGGTGGGGTGGGCAGATCATTGAAAGGACATGGTTAGTGATTCAGCACCAGATGGATGCTGCCCAGATGGCTCTGAGCAGCACAGTGATATATCTTAGATTTACAACAGACTCTGAGTCTAGTTTGCACTAAATAGCAGGGAAGAGTCAGGACAGGTACATAGACAACAGACTGGGGAGGGGGAAAATGTGCTTCAGCAGGCCAATCAAGGGATGTTGCTTGATTATATTAGGAGTGGAACAGTGGACAGGGGACATGGGCATGGAGTCTGGATGTATCTGAAGGAAGAAATGACATGACTTGCTGATGAACAGGATGTGCAGTGTGAAGAAATAAAGATGTTCCTGAGTTTTGGGACTCAAGCATATGGGTTTCAGGCAGCCACCATTTTCCACTGTGCAGACAAATGTTCATTACTATTGCTTTCATGTTTGCTAATTGCAGGGGTCTCCCATGGTTGCTTTCCCCACTGAATCTTTCATTGCTTGTCTTCTACACTTTTGCTATTCACTGCTTCTTATTTTTCTCCACATTTTACTATGAATGATGCCATACGTCTAGACTTATAAATCTAAATGAGGGCATATCATGTCCCTCCTTAAAAGTCTGATCTTGTTTACTAGACAAATTGACATTTTTTTCTTTGTTTAAGACTTCAAAGCATATATGAGATTCAAGGATGTGCCAGATATTAAGCAGAACACACGCTCTACAACCTGACAATATTACTTGTCCCTGCTCTGGGGCATTTTCCTAAGGTCACTGCTCCTTTACATTTCTGAATTTAGCTCTGCACAGTGACTCCTTGTCTCTTTGCTCAGGAATTTTCCACTTTTGTGCTATCCCTCCATTTTTTCTTTGCTTGACCATAGATTTCAATTCTACCTCATCCTGTGCCTGGCAAATATGTGCTCCCATGACCCTGTTATAAATCATCTTTCAGATGAGCCATTCATCTTGCTGTTTCCAGAGCAGCCCCTACTGAAGTAAACAGGCTTTCTGCTGTACCAGTAGTTGCAACCAGAACCTGCTCTGTATGACATACTTGCAGTAGGATTTGGCCCTTGTCATTATGTTTCTTGCTCTGAAATAGAGAACCAAGGTGCATTTAGGCAGCTTGAGTGATAGGCTTAAAAGTTTCAGCTTTATAGATTAATAGATCTATAGCAATGATCCTAAACAATCTGGGAGTCTTTAATCTTGAAGTCTTTGATTTTTGAAATGTGTTTGTTATGCTAAATCATTACTTGCAGGACTCATATGATCTCTGCCAAAGTACACACAGAGTGCTGAAAAAGTTGAGTAGCATTGTGTCCTTGTACCCTTGTGAGGTTAAAGAATAAAATTTGTCTTACAGCTCCAGCTCTCATGCAAAGAGATGTCTTTTTTGTTATCTCTTAAGTGCACTATTTTATGCAATATTTCTTTACCAGTGATTTTGCTGTATAAGGTGGTTTTCAAACAGGGTTGAATTGCTATCCACTGTTCCTAAGCATAGTAGACGGATTGCTTTATGGAGGAAAGACAACAAATAGTTCTACTTCATTCAGCCTTGCTTGTGAGACTGTTCCTCATGATTTCTATTTTAATGAATCAATAATACTGTCAGTCCAAAATCAGAAGAGATTTTCCTACCTCTCTGTGAAGGAAAGTAGTAAAGTAATATCAATAGTATGTGATACAGCTGTAACCAAGATGGTAAAGTAACTAAATCAGTGTATTTATGAGTGGCAAATTTATGAAAAGTGTAGTAGATGGCATTTCTATGAGCAGAAGTGCAAAAATTTAAAATTATATTACAGAGAGTCACGAAAATTTTGCACCTTCCAGGTATTGTATTATCATAAATGAATTTTACATGCAACTAATTCTCTGTAACAAGTTTGTGTTGTATAATAAAACTTTAAATAAGTACCTAAAGGCAAAACAAAAGTGATAATAATATGGCAGAGGCCCCCAGGAACTGTGGAATCACCTTTGGAAAATTATCCAGTGTTCCTAATTCAGCACTCATTGTAATTTTATATACATAAATATTATAAAGACACCAGGATTGACTTCATGAATATTATAATAGATATTTTAATTTGGGTGATAATTCCCCTTCTCCTCTCTCACCAGCATCACATCACCACCACTAACTCCTCAAATTTCTCCCCTTGGTGTCTCATAGATGTACCCCTGGGTTTCTCTGGCTACTGATCACTGCCAGGAGAGATGTTGGTTATGGTCACACCCTCAAATAGACAGAGAGAGGAACATGTGTGTTATCACAGGCAGAGTAATGAAAGGCGTTATGCTCCCCAGAATTATCCTGTGGTGCCCACTGTTGTTGATGGTGTGCTGCTGCCCAAGGCACCTGAAGAGATTCTGGCTGAAAAGAATTTCAATACCATCCCCTATATTGTAGGAATCAACAAGCAAGAGTTCGGCTGGATCCTTCCCATGGTGAGTGTGTACAGGCTTCTTAGATAGAGGCGCCTCCGCCACATATTCAGTTAACTCCTGGGTGCTGCAACCTTAAAATACTGTTCCTAAAACAAATTTTGATTGTATTTCCATGAAACAATACTAAAATATCCAGATGAAGGATATAATTGTGTAGTTGGACAAACTGAGGAATCCCAGAGTTGAAGAAGCTGGAGAGTCAAGGAGATTGAACATGAGGAGCAACAACTTCTACTTTGAGGCTGTACTATGGTTTCCTTAGATCTCCACCTGAGTTCTCTGATATTTAATTGGCAAAAGTCATTGAAATGTGTTTGTTATGCTAAATCATTACTTGCAGGACTCATATGATCTCTGCCAAAGTACACACAGAGTGCTGAAAAAGTTGAGTAGCATCATGTCCTTGTACCCTTGTGAGGTTAAAGAAAAACCTCACAAGGGTACAAGACCTTCACTCTATTTAAGACACCTTTTTTTTACTAAAATGGAATAGGGCAATTCCTCTGTTATTGATAAGCAAAATTATGTACTAGATAATACAATCAAACACCTTGTATTCAGTAACTTGAATGCAATAGAGAGAAGATTAATAAAGAATAACAGCAAACATGACTTGAATATAAATCTCTCACACCAAAGGCTGGAAAGTTTTAAGGCTGGGTGAGCTCTGGAAGGTATCTGGATATGATGGGAGCATTCATGTGGCCAGGTCACTGGACTTGTTCCCTTATGATCATCTGCAGGAGAAACAGATTTATTTTCCTCACATGAATCAGAAGTGTAGGTTCAAGTGAGGCACCCACGGAAGGCAGACTTTTATATTACCTTTAAGAGTCATCTCCCCAAATATTTATGTATTTCAGGGAAGGATCAAGATATTTTCCTCCAAAATTAGCTCTTAGATCTCACTAAAAGTGAGATTTATGTTTCAAAGGGAAGAGGAGTAGGAAGAATTTTAAGCTTCCTAAAGTTACCTCTCTAAGTGGTGCGTGTTCATAGAGTGTTTACCACAGCATTGACAGCATTTTCAAGCATGTACTTTGTGATTGGGTCATGTTAGGTAGGATGTCAATTATGTTTCTCAGTGCAGAGATTTGAAAAGATGAGAGTTCTGAATCTCAGTTAAGAAAAGTTTCAGTCATTACACCAAATTCAAAGGTGATTTTTTTTCCTCAGTCATGTAGGTCTGTGCATTGTTTTTTTCACTGATCCTTTCAAATTCATAAAAGATCCAGGAATATCAGGTCCCAACACAGAAGTTTAATGCTATATTGGTTTGGCTGTTTTCCTGATATTTCATGATTATTCATAAAGGCTTAACCATTCTACTAACAGGTGTTGGGAAATCCAGTCCCTGAAGGCAAGCTGGACCAGAAGACGGCCACATCGCTCCTGTGGAAGTTGTATCCCTTTGCTGTAAGCTGTGTGGGAATCATGGCAATAAAACAACAGAGAAGGATTGTGGGCTTGCACAAAGTTACACAGCCATTCAATGGCCTGAATTCTGAGTTTGTGTCCATTTTTCTGTCTTCCCCATTTTACTACTCAGGGAGAATTTGCACAGGGCTCAAGATTTTCACCATCAAAACAATGTGGCTGACTGACTGGAAAATCTGAAATACTTATTAGATGTGGGTTGTCACTTTCTTGATGCATTTCAGAATGTTCCTGAGGAACTGACAGCAGTGGCCACTGAGAAGTATTTAGGAAAGACAGATGACCTTGTGAAAAAGAGAGAACTGTTCCTGGACTTAATGGGAGATTTGATGTTTGGTGTGCCATCTGTGATTGTGGCCCGTGGCCACAGAGGTGAGTCATGGCAAAAAGACACTCATACACCAGCTCTGGTCTCTGAGCTGCCTGGCTCCTCTTTAGACAGATGATAAAGTTTTGGGAATCAAGACTGAAAGACTGATTCTTCATGACCTGCAAAGAGGGCTCTGTTTCATTTTGTTTCTGTCAAGAGAGAATTGAGAAAAGGGTCTAAATATAAATTGTTAGTTTGTGAAGTAATCCTAGTAAATATCAGTAGGGAGGCATGAGAAAATGACCCAAGGAAGAGATGGAAGATAAAAATTGTGGCCAACCAAGAATTTCCCTGTTTTGCAAACCAGAACTAGAGAGCTGTCAGAACAAAGAAAAAGACATGTATCAGGGTTGTGCTGTCTGTGCAGCAAGGAGCTGGCCATTCATCGAACAGTGCCCACATTCCATAGGTTGAAGGCTCTTCTAAGTAGTTGTTAACTGTATGTGATTTGATCTCCAGGGGACATGGGCCGTGATTTAAGTGGTCATACAAAATATGGGGCATATACACTACCAATGCTGACAGTAGGATCTAAGCCAATCTGCCCAGAGTCAGTTATCAGTGAGGCACCAGCAATATCTGTTACACGGTCTACTTTCTGGAAGCTAGTGTGGTATGCTGGACTAAAAGTCAAATACTGGAGTATGGGACTGAAATATTCTCAGAGTCAAAGCTGGATTCCTGTTAATTTAACAGTTAGATGTGGAAGAAATATAGAAGTTACTTATTGCATCAGAGAGGTTGGCCAGGAGAAAGACTACCAAAAGCAGAGGGCAATAGATGAGGGCAGTGATGATTTTCACTATCTGTGCTGGTGTGTGCCAGTGTGGCCAAGCTGAGGACCAGCTGAGGTGTATCACATCACCTTCTAACATTGTTCTAAGAATGTATGATTGGAGAGTGTTTATGGGTAGATGAGCTCACTTAGGCAGAAGCTTACTTCAGGAAATTCTCTTTAGGAGGTCTCAGAGAACTCTTCTATGACTTCCGTGTCTTGTTATCAAACTCTCAAGTCAGTAAAACTTTCTTTATCTTATCCTTCAGCACCTACCATTCTGGACCTTATAAATATTCTAAAAACTCATCCTAATATTTTTCTTCACTGTTTACTTTTTTGAAATTTCAATTCCTTACTAACTTCTTCTAGCAGTTGCATGAATACAATACAATAAGACATTTTGAGAAAAAGGAAAATCAGCAGAGAATATGTATATATATATATATATATATATATATATATATATATATATATAATTTTGGAATTTTTACATTTGCAAATTATATATTTTAAAAGTATAAGGTATAAATTTATAGCATAATTTATATATTATTATATATATAATGTTATTATAATGCATAATGTCTGAATATCAGTTAGAATAATTAAATCAAGCTGTGAACGCATCAGGCTCTTTAACTACTGGATATTCATTATAATGGCAAGCTTTCACCTTTGTTTCTCAGAAATGTAATTGTGGAACAGTCAATATTAAAAATATGCAGTTGAACTGAAATAGAAACAAACTTCCACCTATCAGAGATTTAGTGTCTTTTCAACATCATCTCATTCTATCATTCATATCAATCTACATCAGAACTGCTATTCCCTCTAGTTTTGAGAGTTTTGTTTTAGATTCATATATATGTTAATATGAAATATCTTTCTCTGACTTATTTTACTTACAGTGTTGTTCTGTTTCTTTCATGTCACAATTGACAGAGCTTCTCTTTGTAAGCCGAGTTGTTGTCATACTGCATTGGTGTTGCCCACTTTTCTGTTGAGAGACACAGGTTGATTTTGAGACCCAACCTCCTTGAATAGTGTGGCAGTGAAAATGGGGTACAGACATTACATCACTAAACTCATGTTGAATACTTTGACTAGATACCCAGCCGTAGGATTATTGGGTCATACGGTAATTCTATGGTTAGTTATCTGAAAAACCTCTGAATCATTTTGCCTCTGCAACACGTTGTAAAAGTATTGTCTTTTTCCACATCCTTGCCAGCACTTGTTTCTTTTTAAAAATTTTTTGATAAAAGCCATTCTGCCTAGAGTGAGATAATATCTCATTGCAATTTTCCTTACATTTTCCCAATTACTCGTGGTACTACTCTTTTTAAAAATATTTTTTTCTATTTGTGGGTCTTACATTAAGCAATATCAGCTCAGGATGTTGGCTCTTTTTTTTTCGGTACCAGGGATCAAACTCACAACTGCCTGCTTGCAAGGCAGGTGCTTATGCCGCTGAGCTAAACCCTTAGCACCCTTTGCTCATTTTTTAATTGAGTTTTTTTTTCTTGGTTTCTTTTCTTGCATTGTGATTTTTGAACTTCTTGTACAATTTGTTCAATAAACGCTTACATGTATGGATTGCGTAAGTTTTCACAATCTTAAGTGTTCACTGTATGCAGTTAATTTTTTTCTTCCTTTGAAGCAACTTTTTAGTTTGAGATAATCCCATTAATTTCTTTTCTACTTATATTACTTCTACTTTTGGAGTTAAATCAAAAAGTCATTTGCCCAGGACACTGCAATGTAGTTTTCCTCTATGATTTTTGTGTATTATTTTTTTTAATTTTATTTAAAAAAGACTAAACAAAATGTAAAATGGGTAGAAATAATACATACTTTCAAAGAAAAAATAAACAGTAAGAAATCACTAGTTGATGATTTCATATTGTCCTCTTAAAAATAGTTGTTCAAGATACAAAGGTGGAACATCTAAATTGAGTATTCAAACAGCAAGACTGCAACCAGTTCTTTTCAACCATCCAACAAAAACTTAGCAATATGGTTATCAATCCTATATACTTAAACATACATGCAGTTATCCATATCCTCATTTATGTTGAGATTAAACAAATCAAAGTAGCCTAAAATCACTCTGAGCAAAGAATAATATTATTGCTGGATTTCACATCATGACACTCCAGGATCAGCATGGGGTACTGTAGTGTGTTTTTTTCTTCAAAGTATTTTTTCACTTTGTCATGTGTCATAAAATCAGTTCTCATAAACTGCTGATAGGTTCTACGCATGAATGAGTCTTAACATGTGTTTCTATCCTTTCTATGTTAGAAGGAGAAACACCATAAAACAGGACAAAACAAAACATATTCCTAGAAACACATGAAATGAAAAAGACATAGAAAACCACTGTAAAAAGAGTTCTACCATGGTTACTGTGTTGTCTCTTGTTGTCTTCAATAGAATTGGCTATATCATCAGACTAAGTATAATTGAAAATAGTATCACATAACAGTATTAATAAAAACACGATTTTGTAGATAGTGTAAAACTACAAAAACAGGTAGTAATCAAACCAGAATGGGTATCGTAGTGAATCTGGTCATCTTCAGTAAAGTTACTTATACTCTCAGACTTGATACTATCATTCATAACAGTTTTAAGTAAAATCTGTTGATACCAAACAGCAATAAAATAAACCAAATTTAACTAAGATGAGTCATGATAAAATAGTACAAGTTATACAGGGCCCCAGATTAAGTTAACAGGAAATTAAAGATGATTACTGTGCCGTATCCTGATATTTTGGGGATAGCTGTCTGTGCCCTCAGATCTAGTGCAAAAAGACAAATTGGGACATAATAAATTTTACCTAAATAGAATGGTGAAAGTAATGTGGGTTTCAATTCCTGATACACTATTAATAATATCTTCTGCCATCTTTTTTAAGACTATTTCACCCTTTTCACTCCCCCAAAGTGCACTGTGCATTTTTGGACTTCACCAACAACCTTGGACTTGATCTCTAGTTGTATTCCTTTACCTATTAAAGCCTGTCTTTCCAACCTATCCACAAATACTGGTCTAGTTACCCCTATTACTCTCTGGTTCCCTGTCACATAGAGCACTGTTTTTGTATATTTGATTTTCAGTCCATATATCCTTTTTCGGGTTAATTATATTTCCATTAAAGAGCATTTTGTTGGACCCTACCTCCTGACCTACTTTACCTGTAACTTCTCTTTCTTTTTTATTTAGTTTATCAAGGTTATCTACATTAGCGATTATATCCAACCTTCTCTGCATCTTTTCTGTTGTGCTCTTTTTCTGCCACTAGTTGTCTGCATTTCTTCTTCATTCCACTTTCTGCTCCGTTCATTGAGCCCTCTCTGCCACGGTTCCTGGAATCTTGGTACTTTTTTCTCTTTAGAGTGTCCTTCATATTCTCTGTAGAGTTGGATTGGTGGTCACGAATTCCCCCATTTCCTCTTTGTCTTGGAAGCATCTTGTTTCTCCATTAATTTCTAGAGACAGTTTTTCAGGGTACGTCAATCTGGGTTGGAGTTTATTTTCTTTCAGGACTTGGAATACTTCATTCCAAGCTCTTCTTGATTTTATGATCTGTGTCAAGAAGTCTGCTGTGATTTTGATGAGTTTTCCTTTATAAGTAATCTGTTTCTTTTCTCTGACAGTTTTTAATATTCTGTTCTTATATTGAATCTCTGGGATCTTGATTATTATATGCCTGGGTGTATCTCCGTTTTGGTTGTAGGTGGCTGGAGTTCTGTATGCTTCATACATTTGAATATCATTTCCTTTTCCTATGTTTGGGAAGTTTTCCTTAATTATTTCTGTGAACAAACTTTGTAGTTCATTTGTTTGTACCCCTGCTTCTTCATTCACATTCTTTATTCTTAAGTTACAGATCCTCTTGATGTCTTCTAGTCTTTGTATTTTTTACTGATTGTTTCTTTGTTATTTTTCAGAAATTTTTCCTTTCATGATCCCGTATTGCAAACCTGTCCTCCAGTTTGGATAATCTATCCCTAGTTTCTTTCAAGCAACTTTGCCACCTTTCAGTGGAATTTTAAATTTCCTGGTCATCTCTTTGAACCTGCTTCATGTATTCTATGTTTTCTTTATATTCTTCATCAAACGATTTTCTCCTTTTTTTGTGTTCCTCCATTCTTCCATCTGTGTCTTCTTGAGAGGTGCTTAGCATTTCTTTTATTAATCTATTTTTTTGCTTTA